CTGCAGCCCACCGAGGGGGCTTCCCCTCTCTTCCATGCACAGAGGGGAAATCCTTCAGTGGGCTGCAGGAATGGAGCTTGAATCCTGAAGATTTGAGCTCCATTCCCGCAGCCTGCAGAAGGATTTCAGCTCTCCTCCATCCCCTCCACTTGCAACCTTTCCTGCCAGCTTCCCCACTGACTTTCTGGGGAAGCTGGTAGAAAAGATTGCAATGGTGCAAATGGTGGTCACATGATTGTGGGGCACTTAGCAACTGGTCATAAATGGAAGCCGGTTGCCAAGTGCCCAGAATGTGGTCACGTCACTGTGGGTTGGGGGTGGATGTTTTATGACAGCTTCTTTCCAAGGCTGTAACTTTGAACAGTCATTAAAAGACTGGTCGTAAGTCAAGGACTACCTGTAAAAATGTAAAAAGATCAAAGATCTGTAATATTTCATCAGAGAGTAATACTGTACTTGTAATCCATATAGTTTTCTTGCCATTCCTTTTAAGCAGTGATCACTGAGTATTTGTGATGGAACGTATCTACAAGGAGGAGACTGATGTGGGAGATCAAGGCTATCAGGAAGGAGGGGGTGCATTCCAGGAATGAGGAGGAGGCAAGAGGCAGCTGAGTCTGCAATAGGAGCATGGGAAGCGAAAGAGGTTCAGGATGGCCACTCCTTAGAATCTCACAGGGTATATCCACTAGTTGCTGTAGTGTAGATTTAGTTTGGCAAGATTCTGTCTATAAGGTGTAAGCTAATAAAGGAACTGGACTGGACTGGACTGTTTCATCGTTGTTCTTGGGCTGGACCTGACAGTATTACACTAGTCAAGCAATATCTAGCTAGATAAAAGGGATTTCATATACCTACTTACCTGACAGGAAATGCCACTGAACTCAGTAGAATTTCTGAATAGAGAAGTTTAACATTTCAATATAAACTTAAATAAAATTATCATTAGCATTTTGGCTAATGCTTTTACAAATGAAATGTCTAAATTGTTTCTCTTGCTAAATTCAAGTACTCTCTCAACCTTGTAATGTCAGGAAAAACATATTTCTACTGCAAATATGATTTTGTAGAATCTCAGTATCTACTACTTATCTACTGTACCATGACTTCAGTTTTAGAATTATAATTCTGCAATGCCTAAATAAGAAAGATACACATTTCAGTAACATCTTCCTTTTAAAAAATAAGTTAGCTTTAAGAAGTTAAGCTTAACAAATTTGGACAAATTTGAACATTATATTAATTAGATAAACACTTACCACCACGAATGTGAAGTTCATCACGTATCTCTCTGCTAATCTGTGCAGGAGTGATATACTCTTTTCCATCAAGAGTATGCACTACATCCAACTGTTTTTCAGCAATTAACTTAGAAACAATCTCTATGCAATTACGTTCCGACAGTCTGTATATATGAAAGAAAAGACAACTTGCATGTAATCCTAAATATCTGAATTTAAATAAGTGACATTTTGTCACTACAGGTAGTCCTCATTTAGCAATGGCCTTGGAAGGCGACCATTCAGTTACAATGGTGATAAAAAAGTAACTTTGCAACCAATGCTTGCATTTACAACCTTTGCAGTTTCTCCCTCTCACTGATGTGTTCACCATTAATCAGTTAATACCAGTTGTCCTGTACCTGACCAGTTTTCTTCTTTTCCCCCTCTGCAGAGCAGAGAGATTGCCTAAACAAGCTATCTCTTCCTGAGCCGCTTTTCTCCACAGCAGTTTCCCTACTGCAAGTAACCAAGCTCAGCAATATAACTTTAGTTTATTAGAGCTCTCCAGGCAGCTGCTGCCTGAAATTGACCAGACCTTAATCAGTTTCATACTGAAGTCTTTTGTTTGCCTCCTAAGTGGCTGATGGGGGCTAGGTAAAATTCATTTATTTCAAATTAAAATAAAATTATATTTGACAAAAATGCACATCCCAGCAATGTGGTATGTGCTACCACAAGTCAAAAATTAAAAGTTTAAAGCTGTTTATAAATCAGGTCTGGAGCTTCTTCTCTATTTTCTATCAAACTTCACCAAACTCCCAGTATCCAAAATATTTCATGAACACCAAAATAGTAATGAGTAGCATGTTCAACATTTTATATTTAGTGCAGATTTCAGAAAATGACTTCAAATTTATCAGAACTTTAGCCTTCTGAAAATTCTACAGACTTCCCACAATTACCTGAAATATATTTTAAGTATGAATCAACCGTCACTGAGGGAACTCCTTCCTAGTTAAACACATTTAAAATCAATAGGGTCAGATCAATATATTCATCCATGGAAGGATTGTATGAAAGCTAATTTTCCCAATTCTTCTTATTGTAACTTCATTCCTCAAAAATTCTTTTTCAAGAATTCTGTTGAATTAGATAGTTCTATCACCACATGTTTTTTAATAACGCCACCTTCTTTCTCAATTTCCTGCTGTACAAGCTATGGAGTTGGTGGTGAAAGTAGTGTGAAAGTCAGTTTTGTTCACCCATTTCCTAGGCTGATATTGAACCCAGCTCATAATATACTTTATGATGTTAGTAATAAACTGAAACAGCTTTTCTCAATCTGGATATTTTTCAAACATATGGACTTTAATTCCCAGAATTCCCCAACCAGTATGGCCATTATAGAGTATTTTGGGAGTTGATCCATACATCTAGAGTTTGAGTTCCACCGAAGTAAAGCACTGTTAATGTGACAATTCACAAAAACGTGGCTTGCTATATACACAAACATTGGAACTGCCATGGAAAGTTCAACTTTATAGTTAAATTCTACATCTTAAAGACTCATGGATAGATTTAGGTAGCTTTCTTGGCAACACTATGGAAGTGGTCTGCCAATGCCATCTTCCAAAATTTTTTTCTACTAAGGATGGATGCTGCACTTGAACTGGGCACTTGGTAGTATTTTCAAACATTTATAGAAAGAACTAGGTGCTTTTAAATTATGCTGTACTAAAGTAACAAGCACCAATATAATGCAGATTATCATATTTATTAGGGCTGTGCAATGCTTTAGATTAAATTCCCAAAAGATGCTTCAGAATGTGGAGGCACAAATGTAGCATGTTATTACAACCCTTTAAAACAACTGCATCTTTTCCCAGGATTGTGTGGCTGCCTTCCCCTCATTTGAGTTACATGTTCTACATATGTATCCCCATGCACTCCAATGCTCTTATTTGGAATTGAATCCAAAGTGTTGCACTGCTCTAATATTCATCAAAGCTCTAACATAAATATGTTAACGTTAAGTGTGTGGACAAAATTGAAAGACTGTTTTTTCACAATGAACTGAATTCCCTCTTTTTTATCCTTTAATAGGAGAATAACAATTTGATTTTTATTTAGAAGTTTCAGATTTTTAGCTTTTTCAACATTTGCATGCCAGGAAAAACGCTTATAACACATTCCACGTCAGTGGAAACCATTTTTAACAGTTTTTGTGACATTAACTTTAGAAGACAGAAGACACGTTATTCTGGTCTTTAAAAATGCCTTCCACAATAAAGCTTTACTATGAGATTGTTGCACTTTGTGAAAGAAACTGGTACTGTAAGTGTTGCACATTTGAAGATGTCACCAGGAAAACCCTTTCACCTATAAGCATGTTGCAGACAGGAAGGCCACAGTGGTAGATTTCATGTACAGGAAAAGCAGCAACAGCAGCAAGGAAGCCCAGACATGCTAAATAGATATATGTGGGCGAGCGTTTTGTTTATATGGATCTGGACTTATCCCTTTGACAGTAGGCTTACAAGAAAATCTAGCAAATCCCACATTTGCTTGTTTGGTTGCTTCCTGGCATGAAGATACGAGATGGGAAAATCATCACTTGACAGGAGCAATTCAGGTATGCAGTATCTCAGGTGATGCTTTTGAAAGGAAGGAAGAAAGGGCAGTCCTATTTGAGAGATTACGGAAGATTTGCTCAGAGGCCACCCCTTTTATTAAAAGCGGGGAAGGGGCGCGTCGCTTTCACAAGCATTACGGTCCTGACCAGGGAAAGCGTTAACGGGCATAAAATGAGGGCCGTTACAGAGCAGCGGGAAGGGTCGCGCGCGGGCTCGTAGGGGGAGGGATTTGTGAACCGGGGGGGGGGGGGGTCTCCCTGCGGCGCCCGTCCAAAATTTTCTCCCCC